CCGAGTTTGAGAGCCTTTAAAATCAGCGGGCTTTATTGTTTCCTGTTGTATATTATACAAAAAACTGATGCTTTAAGACCGGTTGGAGCTTTACCAACGTAAAATTTTTCATTTTCTTTGTTTATATTGACCCGCTCTGAGTTTTAAATAACTTCCAGAATTTTTTTAACTCGCGAAAGTTTTTTTTATGAGTTGTAATTGTAGCATGATACGTGAGTTGTTTAAGCGTCATTAAGCTCAGCACATGTTTCCAATTCATTTCCCTTATCTTCTGTGAGAAGGAGAGCTTTTTGATTTTTTTTCAGCTGTGTCATTGATAGGTGTTTCGTGTTGGTATGACTGGAGGATTAGTTTTTGTTGCATTTCGGGGTCTTGAATGATTCAAGTATGATAGTTGCGGTTTATTATGCTTGATGAACTTGTCAAACTAAATTTGCGCTGAATGGGGTTGCTCTCTAATAGAAATATGCTCCGGAATTAGAACAAAATCTTGTGCTGTCATTTTTATGCTGTCAAATAATTTAAGCAAAAATAAAGTATATGTCTGATTAGATAAAAACCCTTGTTTACTCAATATAACAGCTGATTTTTTTCCAGACTCGTGTTTGATTTGATTAAAATCTTATATGTTTCTTCAAAATTATTAAGGTTTGGACCACTAACACGCACAATACCGTTGACTACATTGAGCAAACAATCGCAAACGACTGATATGACTTAAGTATTTGATAGTTTTCTAATAAAGCTCCCTAGTTGAATTCCCCTGTACTTGGATTCAACTGTACCATGTGCAGCAAGAAACATACGTTTCTGCCTTATGTAATGGTAAATTAAAAACTGAGAGACCAGGAGGTGTTTTGTTTGAATAGTATCTAAGAAAGTCTGCTTTTCGGGGATCTAAACCAATAAGTAGATGTCCGAAGGTGTCCTTTGTTACCACTTCATACGAAATTCGTAAGAAACTGGTTACATTAAGTTGTCGGTCAAGATGATCAAGTTGCTGTATATCACGGCGTGATTTGAATAAAATCATGTGAGATGTGTTCAAATCAAAAGTTCGTGACCATCGGCTTCGTTGTAATAAATTATGTTTAACATAGTTAACATCTAAGCCTTTGTGTCTTCCTGACATTGCTAGTTTAACCAACTCTTTATCATTGAAAATTTCGTCGCATGAGTCATCAAACACCACCAGTAAAATGTTTTCAGTATTTCTCAAACGATCAAATCCATCAAATTTTACGAAATCTATTTGAATAATGCGAACGCTAAACTTTTCCCGAACTATAGGTTGAATATATTTTTTTAAAAAAGACTCTTTCAAATATGGGATAAAACGTTTACCCTTCAATTATTTGAAAATTAATTGTTTTCCCGGATCCCGAAGGTCCTACAACTGCCATAAATAGTCTCGTCGATGTAACAATAATTTTATTCATATTCTTGTGTTTGGAAGTACGTACCCATCTCAACCAGACAGTATGGAAAACCAAACTGATGTTTCTTCACAGCTTAGTTGCGCAAAAAAGTTTAGAAACAAAAACTTAATAAAATTAGAAAATAAAAGTAAAATTAGAAAAATTAGAAAGTAAAATTAGAAAATTTTATGTCATTTAAGACATAAAAACCACTTCTGATCTGGGAACAATGGCATCAAAACAAAACTTCCAAGAATTTTGTTCTGTGTTAATTTGATCATGAACAAAATCAGTAACTTTAGCTGTATCAGGCTCATCGTCTGCTATTTCAAAGATTCAGGTTTTCAATTTAAATTGCTCATTCGTTTCTCTCTCTCTCTCTCTCTCTCTTCTTTCTTTCTTTCTTTCTTTCTCTCTCTCTCTCTCTCTCTCTCTCTCTCCTCTCTCTCCTCTCTCTCCTCTCTCTCTCTCTCTCTCTCTCTCTCTTCTCTCTCCTCTCTCTCTCTCTCTCTCCTCTCTCTCTCCTCTCTCTCTCTCCTCTCTCTCTCTCTCTCTCTCCTCTCTCCTCTCTCCTCTCTCCTCTCTCCTCTCTCCTCTCTCCTCTCTCCTCTCTCTCTCTCTCTCTCTCTCTCTTTCTTTCTTTCTTTCTTTCGTTCTTTCGTTCTTTCTTTCTTTCTTTCTTTCTTTCTTTCTCTCTCTCTCTCTCTCTCTCTCTCTCTCTCTCTCTCTCTCTCTCTCCTCTTCTGACTATCTATCTATATCAACCGTCTCTTATTGAGGAAGAAATTTGTGTGGTTAAAAAAACTTGTAATTTATTCTTCTGAACAGTAAAAAAAATCTAGAATCGAGTATAAACAGTGAAAACATTAGTAGTATCTGTTTCATTGACATACATTTCCACTACATAATTGGCTGGGACACTTTAAATTTTTGCATGATATATGATTTTCTTCACTGAGTTTATCTTTACTAATTTCTGAACTTCTTCAGGTAAGTTACTGCTGCTGATATTCCATTGGAACCCCGGGTTGATGTTTCGGTACTAAGAGTAGCTGGGGAAAATAAACTTCTCGTTTTTGCTGGCTACATTTTCGAATAAACTTGAATCGTTGAAGGTAGATGAATGGGTCAATCCCCGGTAAATTCTTTGGCCAATCAAAAAAACACCATGCTTTTCTCTAGGGCGCAGTGATTCCTGGAGTGGTTATTATGTAAATTTCTATTGCAAGCTGGATAATTTTTGAAATGTAAAGTTTCAATTCTCGGGCAACTTATTCATCGCGGTTCGCAACTTTTCGATCCCAATACTTTGCAAGATATTCAGTCTTTTCTTTTCCCTTAGCGTAAAATATGGCGTTGGTATTTTCCAAAACAAAACTTTGAATAATCTGATTTAGGTTGAAATATAAATCTTAATCATCGCTTTCACAGTGCATTCCGTGCAAGTAATTTGTCAACCAGTTGTAAGCTTTTTGTTCACACTTAGGAAGTGAAACGAAACTGACTGGAGGTGGAAAAATAAGAGAATCACTATAATCAGAAATTGTAATCGCTAATTCTTCAACTAAAAGATTTTTTTTTCTTACAACGGAAACCTTCCAAGTCTATCACGACTGATCTTTCCTTCAACATTCTAACAATTGATAGAGACTTGATTTTGTCAGTTTAACATACGCAGAGGAAGTAATGCCACTCAGGCTTTTGCTGCACTTCAGGGTAGCATATAACAGCACGTGGGACCAGTGTTAAAAATTTTGTGAAGAAATACCTTTGTGAAGAAATCCAGTTTTAATATTTTTGAATCATTCAAGTATTTGTCCAATAAAGAATTGTCTATGACAATAAGACCTCCATATGGTCTAAGTTTAATTGCAACATCATTGTTTGTATAAATTTTACTAGAAAAGAAAAACAGAGAATATGCTGCTAGAAAATAGATTCGGCGGTCAAAATTTTCCGGATCGGTTTTCTTCACAGTCAAATAAATCTCGTGAATGATTTCCAAATCCGTTGAAGTAGCTCTACAATTTTCCAATTTAATTTTGCATTTTTTCCACCAGCTCGCGGACCTGCTGAATTTCAAGCCGGTGGAAGTGAAAGTAATCTTGCAGATACCATTTACTTAGTCCTATATCTCGGTGGTAGATATTTAGATAGACTACTGATATTTTGAAAATTTATCAAAACAAAGTCGAATCATTCGCTCGACCACTTTCTCAATCATCATAGAGTCAAAATCGAAAGAGTAATTAAATCGGTTTTCGTAAGAGCAATGGTTAGATCAGTAGCCTTACCATTTTTCTGTTTAGCATAAACGCACCACGTTATTTTTAAAAGCTCATTGAATTAAAAAGCTGTTTATACTTGTGAGCATTTTTTTTGCTATTTCAACATACCTCAAGATGAAAACTTTATGATAATTTTGAATATTACTATTTTTTGATCTGACACCAGCTGAAAAAACTGAGAAATTTAAATTTTCTCGATCATAATCTTCAGTGTGCCAATTTCCTAGTAAACACATTTTGCTTTTTTCATTTTCCGACAGTTTATCATTACTATACACCGGCAAGACCACATTACCGTCCTACAAGCCTGGTGAGTGCTCATAGCCATAACCAGTTTTCTTCTTTCACGCGCAAACATCGCTCAATTTATAGAAATCAACTACTGTTCGCAATAGTTAAACCAAATTGGATAAAATTTAGGAATTCTGTTTTTGTTTGCCCACCCAAAACTCCTAGTCAAACATTCTGTTGAAAAATTCTGTCTGAAAAAATTCTGTCTGAAAAATTGTGTCTTGTGAACAATTTTCACATTGGGATCATGTAGCGTATATAGGGATCATTAGCTATGCACAGGGATCCTTAGCTATCAAGTTTTACCGGTTCGAGACGAACGAAAAACTCTCAGGATCCCAACAATAAAATTCCCCAGGGAACCAGCATTTTGCGACTATGTTCGGTAAAATCTTTTTCGGTGACAGGTGGGCGAAAAACAACATTTTAAATTTTGATTCCAAAAATTTTTGACCCCCCTTAAGCATCTCAGGCGGCCCATGGCAGGCCTCTCCCCTAAAGATCCCAGGCGGATCTCTTTACTACTCACAAGAAGCGAATAATTTAATTACTTGCTTTTGAAAGCGCGCACTTTGTAAAAAATAGGACGAAATCTGTGTACTCCCATCCCAAATTTATGGGACGAAATATGTGTAGCTTTGAAATGGGATGAAATCTGTCATGGAACGAAATATGCCACAGCCATCTGAACTTCTCATGTACTTATTCCGCCTCGTAAAAAAATCTAATTTGTGATGTTTTTTCTTTTTGTTTTGGATGGCGAAAAACCAAAATGCATTGTTAATCAAATGGGAAAAATTCACAACCATTACCAGTCTGATATATATAATTTTTTCACTCCGAGAAGCCTGCTGGAAAACTAATATGGAAAAACAATAAAATCGTTAATGAATATCTTTGTAAAATTGCTATCCAGCATACAAATGGCCTTTGACACGATTCTCATAATACTTCAATTTGTTAAGCGATGAGAGGCGGGGAACTCGAAATAAGCATTGTTTACCTGAACTAATAGAGGATCGTAGAAAGGGCAGCTCTTTACGTAGTTACTCAGAGTGACTGGTAATAAATCAGCCTGATGCGTTATCTGCTGTTGCAACTCCAGCTGAGCTCCATCATCAACCCCCGCCACAACACCGCCATCGCTACCAGCTACAGACGAGTCCCCCTTCGCTTGATGCAGCTTCATCCTGCTCAGGTAAGAGAGGGGAGCCACAACCTATGCATACAATTGAAGGTTGACAGATACATAGAAAACAATAAAAATTAAACCGCAAACAGGTTCGAATCTCGGCAGTGTAAAATTTTTTTCAATTTGTAAACAACTAATCATCTCTATACTTTTACTGATTTTGCTATGATCAGAATAGAAAATCCAAAAACAGCAGTACACCAGGACTGAAACCGTACTCTTACAGGGGGGCTATTCTCATGCGCGAAGGACCGAATGCGCGGAAAAACTTGTGTGCGAAAACTCAAAAACAAAATTAGCCGAAAGTCAATTTTTAAAAGAAGCAGTTGCTATTCAATTAAAAAGAAGTAAACGAAGAAACAGTTTGCTTCTTTCATTACGAAACCCTTGAAATGTAAAACTTGTCCCAATTTTGCGGCGGTCAATGACAATATTTAAGTTTTGCATATTTCTGCCGTTTTTATATTCGGCCAATCTCAATACCCCAGTCCCTGGAAATGTTTACTTTCTTTCCAAGTTTTAGATTACTGAAATCTGATTTATTTTCGCGCATGAGGGATTCCACCCTCTTACAGTACTGCGAAATTTGTCTCTGACTTCTTCTCTGATCAGAGTTAAAGCGGCACTGTACAAAATTGGATACAGCATTGAAATTTTAAGGAGACAGTTCTAAACCAGAATTATTTTAGTATTAAAACTATCTGGCTCAAAGTGTTACGTAATCAGCAGCATACAACTTAAATATCATACCAATCCAAGAGCATACAAACGAAACTGATTGGTTGTTATTGAAGGTTAAGAATAAATTTAATCAATTCGCATGTCCCAAAGCAATATTAGCATAATGAGAATTAAGTCTCTCCCTTCGAGGTGAAGTATGTTTACTTGACCCGAAGCCCTCGTTTCATCAGAAAAAAAAAAACACAATCGACAAAGCAGCTTTTAAATTCGGAGAAAACATAAAATAAGCTTTTAAAAATGAAAAAAATCCTCTAAACAGAAAGTTGAAAGAATATTTTTATACCTCATGACGAGACACGTGCGAGTGAAGCTTCATGGGCGTGGGAGCGACCCCCACCCCCATCTGGGACAGGGTGGGTCTGCTGGCCTGGGAGACGAAACAGCTGTCCCCTCTGATCACACATTGAACTGAACTGTCCATCATCTCAACTAAGGAACTGTAGGACCTCTGAAATGTAATCAAGGCACACATAGTCAAGGCCATTAAATAGTGGTTCAAATTAACATCGTCCCTCTAAACAGACCAAGGTAAGACTCTTTTTTATTAGCCCCCAGTCCTGCTACCACCATTCAACCTTGGGCCTTTTTTAGTGGGGGAGAAAAATGTCATCCATTTTGTCGCAGCCGGTCCCACCATGAGGAGGCGGATGACACTGGGAGGTCAGACTATCCACGCCGCCACTATTACAAAATTCTGATTGGCTGAAAATTACAAATTAGAACCAAGTTAACGCTTCCGATGGTGAGTGTGTTAAATTTGACCACAAATAACGGAAAAAAAAACGAAAAATACGTCGTTATTTCGTTATTCTATACTGAGGCAAAGCGGAGCCACTTGCCATACAACAATCATAAAAAAGCTAGTGTAAAAAAGCAGAAGTCGAAAAAAATGAAAAATGTTGAAAAAAAAAACTAGGTGAACCAAAATTTTCGCATTTCTCGATTCTCGATGAAAGACAACTAAGGCCCAGCTTCTGCAGGAAAAATCGCACAACCGCTTCTTTCGATTGAAACTTTCATCTCAGATTTGATAGGGTAGTTTATAAGAAAGTTGGAAAAAATCTAAAAAACGGTCGAAGCTCAAAAACTTGTTTTTCCGAATTCCGCAATTTTTTTGCTAAAACCAGGTGGTGGCCGGTAAAAAAGAGGATTCCCAAAATCAAGTTTCTCGATTGAACACTTAACCTGAGAATTAGCACGGCAATTTTCGAGTAGAGTCTAAAAAAATTCCAAAAAAGGTCTAAGTTCAAAACTTTCACTGGTTTCAAGGCCATAATTTTTTTAAAAAAGAAACTGCGCGTAGCAATTTACAAAGGTAGGTTTCAAACGACCTGTTGTGTCGATTAAACATGATATCAGATTTGAAAGGATTGTTATCGAGAAAATTCCCAAAACAGGAGTCATGGCTGTTTCCGAGAATCCTAACCTTTTGTTTTAAAAAAAATGGGCGTAGCCGTTTATGCAGAAGAGATTCTTCAACCTGTAACTTCGTTTGAACCCAAGAACTAAGATTTGACAGGGTAGATCTCGAGAGAAGTAAAAAAAAAACAGTCAAAAAACAAAATTTTGACTTTTCCGAGGGCCATAATTTTTCCTGTCAATAAAATTTGGGCGTAGTCGCGTATGTAAAGGAGCTTCCCACAACCCGCTCCTAGGGTTGAACCCAAAATCTCAGATATGGAGGGATATTTTTTGTAAAACCCAAAAAATTTCGAAAAAAAAGACTAAAAAACATCAAAAAATTTTCCAAGGATTTTTCCAAGGACGATAACTTTGTGTCAAAAATTGTCAGTGGTCTCTATGTTCTCTAATACAGAGGAGCTTCCTACTACCCGTAATCTCCATTGAATCCACAAACTCAGGTTTATAAAAAAACGGTCAAAAAATCAAAAGTTTCACTATTCCGAGGGCCATAATTTTAAGTGTAAAAATTTTTTGAGCGTAGCCGCTCAAGGAGGAAAGCTTTTCAAATCCGTTCTATTCATTGCAACCAAAATCTCAGATTTGGTAGGCTAGCTTTTGAGTAAAGGATAAAAAATCAAAAATATCGGTCAAATATCCCCCCCCCCCCCCCCCCACTTGTTCGAAGGCTGTAGACAAAGGGGAAAAACAAAAAAAGAGACCACGGGAGTATACATGCTCAAAAGAATGTAGGCGGTCTTTCTATGGATATCCTTTTTTTTGAAAATTGGTTGAAAAGCTTTCGAGCAAAAAGTGATAAAAATTTTCCAAAGCGTCTCAAAAAAATAAAATAAAAACACCTAACCACATAAACTTTCGTAGCAACATCATAAGTGATAGCAGCGCCATAAGTCAACTGATTTTGTAAAACTTGTTAACTCGAAAAAAGTCTACATTCCGATTTGATAACGCTTGCTAATCGCAAGCGTAAGAAATTTCGGTTTAGGACAAGAATTATCCGAGTTGCCAAAAATTCAATTAGCAGAATTGTCAAAAATCAAAAAAAAAAAAAAATTGAATTAGTTTTCAGTTGTTTCCAAGGAAACAAAACTGTGCTAATCGCGCATGATAATCAGTCGATTTGATTAATTTTTATTGAATGTGATTTTTAAAATTTACGCAGAAGTCATTGGCCATGAGACGGAACTCGTTGTTCATGAATTCTATGCGTATGTCCACAATTCTACGCTTGCTTTTCCTCCTCCGACCCCTTCTATTATCCCCGTATTCATCCGTCTCCGTACTCCCGCCTCCTCCTCCTCTGTCACGTGACTGTTGCTGCTGATCCCCCGAAACATCGTCGCGTGTCTCTCCTCCCCGTCTATCTCTTTTAACGACAACAACCGAGAGACTGAACACGTGACTGAGACTGCTAGAGTCTCGCATGAGGAAGCAGCCATCCGGTCTTCCCCTCAACAGCAGCTCAGTTTCTTCCTTCTTTAAGGGACCCCAGTACCAGCCAACCTAAACAAGGGACAATAAACAGCTCTTTAATTATTCCTTAAATACTTTTTTCTTCTTGATAAGTTGCGGATTGTACTTTTGGATTTTCTGTTTGTATCGAAAACAACTCACATTCTTCTGGAGGAGCTCCGATATGCTGGCAAACAGATTCGAAGTTCTGCCTGAAACAACAAAAAATCAAATTTAGAAAGGTCCAAGAAATCATTTGGAAAAAGTATACATCAAATTTAATCCAATCACGATTTTATTTTCATCACACATATCGCCAATAGAAAAAGAGCCTAAGAAAAATTGTCTATTAAGCCCACAAAATCCGAAAACCGGTCTATTAAGCCCATAAATCCGGAAACCGGTCTTCGCATGAACAAACACAAAACTCAAACCAAATAGGAAGTCACACTTGCGTAATCATTTTACCCAAACAAGAACGAAGAACCATAAAGCAGTTCAGGAGTTGATTTAGGGGAGGGGTAGGGGGGCGCACGTCTCCTTCAGGGATTCGTCCCCCTGCTGACCCAAATTCATTTTTGGCCGATAGATCGTAAATTTTTTCTAAAGGCACCATGTACTAATTTTGAGGGGAGAGCACGCGCCAAAAAAACTTAATTGTTTGGTCTAAACATTCTCAAAAGAGCCTAAAAACGCCTTTTTGGCCAGTTTTTCCATAAAAATTTGCCTACGGCGCAAAAAATTGTCCGAATAGGGTCTTTATAGTTTTCTGGGAGCTCTCGAAAACTCAATTTTGTCGGACTAAAAAAAGGTCGACAAATTTTCAATTTTTTTTTGAAAAACCGCCCCTCTCGAGAAAAAAATATTAAATCCAGTCCTGATGCACTTATGTAAAAACTGATAACGAAAAGCAATTCGTCCAAATTCACTTCAAAAACCTCTGCCTGAGGGAAGGCAACTCAATCCAAACCAAAAAAAAAGTTTATAAACAAATCGATAAGCCGATCAAATACAGAAACGTTAAAATTCGCAGCACCACTCCGCAACAAATTAGAGTGAATAAAAGTGGAGCTTCGATTGTAATTTGAAAGCTTTATGTTGAGGTAACTGTGCTACTAAAAGCCAAAAAAAAAATCAGCAAGAGTACAAGGATTGCATGTTGCTGCACAAGTAGCACTTGATATTCCGACCAATGACGCAAGGGAAGAAATCCAAAAACAATAAATAATGTTTACCCAGGTTAGGTGTTTTTAGCATTGTCTGTACTTAATAGTTGGTTATTGATCAAAATTAAAACTTTCAAAATGAACACTTTTTGTCGCAACAAAATTTGCGTCGCATTAATAATTGCGACTTAGGTTGAAAAAAAGATGGTTCATGCTATAACCGAGCTTTGATTGTGTAAATACATCAGTAGAATTAAAATGAGAGACCAGCCTCTCATCGTATCTTTTGTGTCATTTAGTCTGAAAAAGAACAAAAATCTCGTTACTGCGATAATCTTTCGGTTTTGTTTTGGAATTTGAATCGAAACTAATAGGGTTTTAATACCATACCTTATTTGACATCTTACGAGCTTTCTTTGCGGCACATGAAAAAGAACAGAAAATATCTACGCCATAGTTCCATTCCATTCCGTGAAGTTGTCGGAACAAAAAAAGTGACCAGCCGGAAGTATAAATAAATTTCTCGACGGTTTTTTTTTCAGTTACTTATTTAATTTTCAGGTTAAAAGAGATAGTCACTCACTCGAGATCTTTTTGTGCTCTTATGAAACCTTGATGAATGACACTTTGTTACCTCGACCGAAGCTGAGCTTCAAAAAAGAATTGAAAAAAATGTACTGCCCAAATAGTATTCACGTGTGCCATATATGTACTGAAACCAAGGTGTTATACACAATTCGGAAACTATACCGAGAACTTGATCAACAGCCACACAGCCAGAACAAAGCCACCAGACGGTTGAAAAAGAGTCAATGAACCCAAAATAACAAAAAATACTGACTAGTTTTTTTTGAAATTTCGAATTTATAGAAAATTCTTCTTGGATTTCTAGAAAAATTTAATAAGGACACTTAATTGATTAATTAACCTACTTGAAAAAGCTGGATGAGTATGTAATCTTTTTATTTTGCTGTGAAATAATTTATATAATAAATATAATTTCCACTTTCGAAACTAGAATTGGATAAAGTTTTTTGTGACCTTTAAACTTTCGCTTTTCGATAGTGGAGTTTGCCTTCCTATAACAAAAGAAATGAACTGAACTTCAAAAAATGGACTTCACGCTAAACCATTATTTACACTGCTTATTTAAACAAGAAACCTAATAGTCGTTCTTTCAATTGAAGTCTCTATCTCAGATTTCGCTGGGTAATTTTAGAAAAAAAAGAAAAGGATTCCAAAAATCGATAAAAAGTTTGATTATTCCTAAATCCATTACTTTTCTCTACTAAAGCACGGGAATAGCCTCTGGTTTCCACGCACTGATATTAAGATTGAAAATTTTGGCACTCTGATTTTTTAGATTAGACCCTTAATATCGTACTTAGCAAGTAGTTTTCGAGAAGAGTGACAAAACTTCAAAAATTAGACCTTTAAGACCATAATTTTGTTTCGAAAACTCAATGCATAGCCGCTTGCGCAGGTAAGACTCGGATAATTTAACCGAAACTTTTGTCTTCTTTTGGGAGTAGTTTTTGAGATAAGACAAAAGTTTCAAAAATTAACCAAACTGTCAAAAACTGGACTTTCTTTTTTCTTTCGACCTTAGGGAATCGCCCAACTAAAACTTTCGAAGGCGGTAGAACAAGAGGTAAAAAGAAAAAAGACTAGCAAAATATGAAAGCACATAGAAAAGCAGCCGGTTTTTCCGTTGGTACCATTTTTTTTTGCAAAAGTTTTAGAAAAAAAATTGAAATTTCTGCCAAAATGTTCCAAAGCATCGCAAAAAAGAAAACAAAAAACAACAAAGCACATACAATTTTACAATTAACATTTTTTTTCAAACGGCCTAACACCAGCCAAAAACAAAACAGCATCATATGCCATTAAATTTTTTATGCTTAACTATGATTAAATTGAAACTAGCGTGTAACGCACCTCCGGTGCTTCGAATGTTTAACAATTCGTAAAAAATCGCATACATTAGAAATAAGGTCTGCAACCTTTGAAAGTACTCTGACAGCACCCTATTACAGGCTTGGTAATTTCAAATATTATTCAAATTTTTCAATTCAGATTTTGCAACTCCATAAAGTTCAGTGAAGCTTTTCATACTTACGTTTTTTGAAAGTTCTTTAAATGACATTTAAAACGTCACATCTCGGTAACTAAAATCAATTGAGCAATTATATTTGAGCGCAAGATTTGCAACTCCTGAGAGTAATCTCACAGTACCCAGGTACAGCGTTGGGAATTTCAGATTTTGAGAAACTTCAAATTTAAGTTCTCTAAAAAAATTTTTTTTTAAATAAAAATCATCAAATCACAAAAAACACATAAATTTGAGCAGTCATATTTGGAGGCAACATTCACAACCTCTGAGAGTACGCTGACAGCCCCCAACTACAGGATTAGGAGTTTCAAATTCAGAAAACAAAATTTAAATTTAAAATTTCTGATACTTTTTTGAAACAAATAAAAAAGTACAAAAAACGTCATATCTGGAAAAGTACAAGAATTTGAGCAGTCATATTTGGAGAAAAAATTCACAAATCCTGAGAGTAATCTGAAATCCCCCGACTACAGAGTTTAAAGAAACTTGAAGAAAAAAAAATTTGTTTATGTTTTCAAAAAAATTTTTGAAAAAAATCATTAAAAACGTCATATCACGAAAATTCAAGGAATTGAGCAGTCATGTTAGGAGGCAAATATTGCAACTTCAGGTAGTACCCTGACAACGCCTCGCCATAAAGATGGAAACTTCAAATTTTGTGACATTTTTTTTTAATCTAAATTCTTCTAAAAAGTACATTTGAGCAGTCATATTCAGAGGCAAGCTTCGCAACCCCTGAGAGTACTCACACAGTTTCCAACTACAGGATGGAGATATTCAAAGTTTTGATTTTTTTTAAATCCAAGTTTTTGGTAATTTTTGAAAAAAAATCATAAAAAACTTCACATCTCAAAAACTACAAAGAACTGAGAGGTGAGATTTGGAGGCAAGATTCGCAATTCCTGAGAAAATCCTGACAGCGTCCGACTACAGGGTTGAAATAATAAAATTGTGTGAAATTTTTCAAACTCAAGTTTTCGAGATATTTTTGAAAAATCTCAAAAAAATTTCCGTATCTCGTATACTAAATCGGATTTGGTTTTTCATATATGGCGACCAAATTCGCAATCCCTGGGGAGTCTTTATAGCATCCCACCATGGGGTTGCTAATTTCAAAACTGATGAAATAATTCTTGACATCAAACTGGAAAATCGAAAAAAAAAATATTAACCATTGCATTACACGATATAGCTTAAACGTGAAAAAATTATTTCGTTAAACATGCAAAAATCATATGTTCAAAAATCTTAAGCATGGCGAGATAGTGAAGCTTGCATTTAAATATATAATAGATGTAGCAAAAATGCCACCAAATGAGCACTTTTATTTGCGACTTAGGTTAGAAAAAAATTTTCTGTAACATTATACTACGCTTCGCTTGGGTAAAAATCTTCGTAATAATAAACTACGCTGCGCTTGTGTAAAAAAAAATTCTTCGTAATATGACACTACGCTTCACTGTGTAAAGAAAAAACTCTTCGTAATGTAAAAAGCCGAAAAAAAACATTAAAAAAAACGAAAACAACAACCAACATAGACAGGACAACTCGATTAGTCCGGATATTTATGATGCTAATGTGCTCAACATATATCTGTTGCAACAGAAACGCCCAGTAGATGAATGAGTCCAGGATCATTGAGGTGTCCTGTGGAAACAGTTATTTATGGGGAAACAAGTCTAGTGCCCGATTGCATAAAATGAAAAAAAAAGGGGCTAAATATGAGCAAAAAAAAGAACTAATTTTTTAAAGGCATTTAATCTTACAGGCTTCGTAAAACCAAGTCTATTGCTTAAAATGGTCAGTACCCTGTTCCAAAACCCTTGCTTATCGAATAGTTTAACGAATTGAGTTCAAAACGTTCTGCCGTACGTTTTTTCTTGAGCTAAAAGTTATGGTATCGGGTTATTTTAATTCAAAAAGAAAACTACATATTAGTTTACTACGATGCTTGATTAAATTTCTATGACCGTTTTCTTTTCCTTTACATTTCTTCCATGAATTGACGTTCCGTCATAAGAAGACTCAACATCTTTCGTTTAGTACATGATTTCAACGCCTCCCTTTTAGCAGGCTTGATCTTCTCGCTGTTGTATTTGGCTGCCAGAGCTTTCCTTTTTTTGTAATCACTGGAATTTTCATATCTATCTCGTGTTTTACTAGCCCTTTCCTTCGCTTCTTTCACTCCTTTAGGCTCATACTTTGCATATCGTTCATTTAGAACCTTGTCCCAATCCTCCTTATGTCCAGACGCTCTCTTTGGATCCCAGATCTTCAGGTAGCGATACCCTCGCTGGTTGGGTTCCGTGATCGCGAATGTATCTATTCTTGCTGGCATCATCCGATCAGTCCAAAAATGCTCCACATACTGTTTCCTGATCCCGTTCATCTCGATGGCAACTAGAAGTTTCCGGTCATCCAACTTTTCTACTTCCAGGCTGAAAGTGACGTCTTGATTCTGAGGTGCCCCGAAATGTCCTTTGAAGTATTCAGTGCAAGTGTCCGGGATAACTTCGCGATGTCCAAAATTCGTGCTGAAGAACTCAAAGCTCTCGGGTCCGTTTTTGAACATCGGATGAATCGGCATCGGCACTTGACTTTCAGGACGACTCGAGGGTCTCTCAAAATTCTTATCCGCGTGGGGGTTGAATCTCCACTCTACGCCCTGCCACTTCCCAGTGATCATGTTATTCGCCAGGGTTCCAAAATTATCCCTGGTCTGTTTCTGCCCTCGTGAATCTGCCAGTACCACTCTGAAGTCGCCTGTATCGCGAGTACATCCCACTTGAACTCTGCAATCTCCCTTCAGTTTGCTCTGACTGTCATAGCAATCGTATTCGAGTGGAATTCGCCCGTCGTATCGCTTTACTGGACACGACCGAGTTGTCATACCATACGAGTTCCAGCCCATAACCCACTTATGTCTCACTCCTCTCTCAAGTGTCACTGGGTCGAAGTGGGTGACGAACCCGTTGTTCTCGAAGTGAGTGTACGGAACTTTCCATTCAAATTCGTATCCGTCTCGTTTCAACGGCTCTCCTGTGAATTGAACATCACTACTGAACCATTTATGTCCAAAGATGGAATGCTCAACTGTAGAAGCGAATGCATTGGAGAACGCCCAGCATACACAGATGGCTTCTATTACTACTCTTGAAAACATCGAAGAGGTTGATCAAATCCAACTACTTCAAAGCTCCAAATTAATAACAAATGATTTGCCTAATTCTAGTATTTGTGAAAGCTTGCTAGCATTTAACATTTTATCGCAGTATAATTTAGTGAAATTTATCGACTAAATGGCAAGACAAGATTTCTCAAATAATTAAGATTTTTTGGCAGCTGAGATTTGAAATAACATGACATATAAGCATATTCTATATACAAGTGCTCTTTAGGGAACTATTGACCGAATAACTGGTCATGCCTCATAATCGAAGCAACACGTTCATTTTTCGATGCAGGTTTTAAGCACGATCTTGCCAGTTTTTGGACTTACAGATGCTTCTTCAATGATGGTTCTTTGTGTTTTGCAGCAAGTATGAAAGCCTCCGATTAAAGTCGACAATCACGACTAAAAGTAAACTGCATCTCTTTGTATGCAAGTAAAAAAAAAATTTCAAGTCCTGATATTTTTTCAACATCTCAAATAAGTTTTTGGACACTAACCAGTTTTTTTTGCCGATAAAAATTACCGAACTGTTTTTTGCTGATTAAAATGAATTCCGTGAATGACTGGAATAAAAATGGGGTAAAATTTCAGTGGGTTAAATTGATATGGTGGTCAAATATAAAGAGAGTGAAAAGAAAGTTTTTTTTTTCAGTCCCATTAAGTTTGACCCCCATATCAATTTAACCCCACTGAAATTTTACCCCATGTTAAATCCGATCATTCAAGCATTTAACTTTACTTCAAGTCCTTTTGCAATCCCTAGAAAACCAAACTCTGGACAGTCAACCCAAAAATATGTTGCCTAGAGCAGGCTGTTGTCGAAGTGTTTCAAACAAACGTTTGCAGAAAAAAAAATGTCCGGATACATCATCTATCGCAACGTTTCGTGAAAAAAAGCTTAACTCCCGCTAAAAAAATCATTACATATAGAAACAAAGTTTTTTCATGCATTCAAAGAAAACTGTGTTAAAAATCGTTTATAATGAACTTTCGTTGGCTTAAATTATGTCTGGATGGTCAATTATTGTTGCAAAATTCAACCAGGGAACAAGTTTTAAGGCTAGCCCGGTTGGAGATAGCCGGTTGCTGTGCAAGTAACACAGAATATTTCGACCACCAAAAAACTACAATAAAGTTTTTTTTTGTTTTTTCTTGTGCTATTCAGCATCATTTTTGTGCATGTTGTGACGAGAGAATTGTACGACTGCGCAGAAAATAATTGAATTAGACATAACCGACAACAGTTGTTTTTGAAACATGAATAACAAACAGATAAATTTTTCTTTGACATTTTTGGCAAGGACGCGCTAAAAGAAGCTTTCTAACTTAGTTTTTCCTTCGGTAAAATCTTTTTTTTCTCAGCCTAAATGATCGTTCTTTATATCGTTCTTTTCCGGCTCGAAAATTAGACAAAAGCTTTAAAAATAAACTGGTTTGATTTTTAAAGTTTTAGTCAAATTTTCGGGCCGAAAAAGCGGTCAATTAGCATTCATCATATAAGAAGAACGATCATTTATGCTAAGAAACATTGGAAAATTTTTCATGTTGTTTGAATCACGACTGACAAACTTTACTTTAATGTATTACTTGACCCATAAATACTTGTGATACCTGATTTTGCGTGGAAAACAACAAAGATACTAAAACAAAGTTCCTCTTCATTCTCAATGTTCGGAACAATAACAAAACAGTTACCAAATGTTTTACGATCGGCAATACTTCAGCGCATGAAAATAAGGATTCACTTTCACAATGGCTAGTAAATTCAACACATAGCCAACTGACAGTTGGAAAAGAGTAATGAACGCAAGGAAACTGAAACAAAAACTGACTTGTTTTTTTTCTTCAAAATCTTGAACTTTTCAACTTCGAAGAAAAAAGAAAAAATGATAGTTTAAAGCTCTTTGAATTTGTAGAACAATTTATGATGAATTTAATCTAATTAAATTAATCTGTTGAAATTAATCTAATTTGAGAACACTGGATCAATAGGTAAAACTTTTATTTTTCTGGGAGAACTGATAATTAATTTCCATTTTCGAAATTAGAAGTCGGTCATGTTTTTCGTGACTTTAACATTTTTGCTATTCGATAGTGGAGTTTGGCTTCCTTTTAACAATGGGAATGCACTGAACTTTAAAAGAAATCAGTCAAACCGCGAAAAATCAAAATTGAGTGTGAACAAATTGAGACTTTTCCTGGAAAAAAAATCGGTAAGACCTATATAAGAGTACGCACGATGTTCATTACTCTTTAGCAAGTCATGGTATAGTAATATCCCAGAAGCTATACTACCCCTCGCAACCTTGAAAAGCTTAATTGAATCGTCCCGAAAGCGCTTCATAAAACTTCGAAACTAAAGACTTCCATAAGCTCTTTATTGACATTTTAACTGATAATGATGTCAAGTTTCTAGACCCTGAAAAATCAGACACGAACTCAACTAAGAAACAATTTTTTTCATTAGCCACCCGCCCAGCTCCCACCATTCAACCTTGGGCTTTTTTCTGTATGTGAGAGAGATGTCGTCCATTTTGCCGCAGCCGGTCCCACCTTGAGGAGGCAGATGTCAGTGTGAACCCTCCAACCATGACTGAAGCCGGGTTCGAGCCCACGACCTTTGTATTAAAAGCCGCGCGTCTTACCCACACAACCACGGCTGCTCAGAAACAATTAGTCACACTTTGACAGCGTCTGCAAAAAGTTGGCCGGTCGTCTAACTTCTACTTTTGCAAAAAAAATTAATAAGATCATACCTTTATAGAGTGGCAATCGTGGAGGGATCGGGGGAGGAGAGGAACACAGCCTCGGTGGGATCAGAGGACGACACGGGGACATCCGCGAAGGGATGTCGGGATGAGAAGATGTCACAGGGATAGAACTTCGTTGTAGCAGCTTACATCCACACCTAAAGCACGTTATTCAATAGCACAATTGGCGATGAGGATTCGAGAAGTGTCTTAAGTTCGTGTGCTTTTGATTGGAAATCAAATCCATGGTTTGAGGCTCACTAGCTCTCATTATCGTAGCTAGTTTTTCTGCCGCTCCACCCCACCCCTTCCCTCCCTCCTTAAACTAATGAGCCAACTTTGTGGATATTTTTTGTGGTTGACTTCTAATCAATACCGTCATAGAATTAAATATAACAAAAATGATACAGGCAAAAAGGATTGCAGTTAAGATTACTTGATCATCTTTTACCTTTCAGTTTCAATAAATTCAGCACCACTTAGACAGCATCGATTGCATTTTCGTTCAGATTCCCTTTTGTCTTTTTCTCTCCTCCGTTTCTTCTTTCGATGAATGAAACAAAAAAGTCCCATAATGCTAAGTGCGTATTAACTCAATCGAAACATTTAATCTGAAACAAAGTCAACACGCATGTACTTCTAAAGGATTCGTTCTAAGTTTCAATCGTGCAAGAATAAAAAAGCTGCAGGCTGCACGAAAAAGCTTACAAAAATCAGTTTAAAAAAAATAGAATCGAACCTTGGTCATCTGCTTAATCCTTACGACACTTGCTAACTGTACCTGTATGACCAACCAAATAATTGGCGTAGATATAAGCCATGTGCTCAAAAGCAACATGCGTTATTCTACATATGCATAAAATCAATACTCTTAAGTGTCTGTATTATTGAGTTCAACCAACAAAATTTCTTCAAGAAAAAACAAAAACAAATCATCACGACCTGTAAAGGATACTTCACTACGTTCCTTGACACTTAAAACTCAGCAAACAACAAAAAAATTTGCAGAAAATTTGTTTGCATTTTTCTTTTGATTTGTTTTGCTATCCAATTTTTGAAAAAACTGTGAAAAAACTTATGATTTATTTACTTAAATTCTAATTTTTCGTCTTTCCTCTCATTACACACAAAACCGGCACAAATTTGATTAACAAAACGTTTTTATAAAGAATTTGGCCGGAAATTTCTAAGATAGTTTAAATTGTGTATTTGTACTGAATACGGCTTACTGTATATGAAATTTTCTCTATGCATTGCATAAAAAAGTGGTAACCCGGACGCAAAAAAAATCAAAATTTCGCAAGCACAAACAAAAGATCGAGTCAGTTGAGATCTGTCGGTTCTGCAAATAGTCTTGTCAAGCAAGAGAATCTATTGCTTAACATTTATTTCTCATATATTTCCCATTCATATTTATAACTTAAGAAATAATTTACACCAATATACATCGAACAAAATAACGCAAAACTTCAGATACCAGAGTAATTGATATCTGTAATTCTGAAATCTAATCATGGATCTTTAGCTTGAAATTGCGACAATATTACGGGTAATTTTTTAAAAAAATAATTTACATTAAGTAGTCTTTAGTAAGCTACAGCATGCGCACCATTGTTTTGGCAACGGGAACAATTTTATCAGAGACTTACATCTATAACTGCCCCAGATAAATCAGTTTCATCATTACTGCGTAATTATTAAACATCTCAATCTACTATAGCACGCACACGCACAACCCAAACTAGAGTTTTTTCAGTTGAACAAAAACATTCGAAGTTTTCGTGGACTGATTCCGGTCTTAGCTAATTGATGTTAGTTTAAAACTATTCAATTGAGCCCATTAAGCAACTTACTTTCCAATTTTTCATTTCAAGTATTCAAATCAATTTGTCTTTTCACAGATACATTCCATCCACAAGGTAGTCGTTATGATCCCTGAAAAGCTTTTTAAGCAGTTTTCGTCTACTGTCTCCTATCCCTGCTAATGATGGATGGGGGTAGCTGCTGTATCCATATCTATACCAGGAGTAACATCTAACAGTAAGTAATACTGAGAAGAGAAGCAATACAGATACTCCTAGAACCAGAGGTATTCCAGCAGACAGCTCCATTCCAGTTCCGGCTCCAATTCTCCGTCCAGAGGCTTTGCTGCCTCCCTCCCCCTCTAAACTTTCACTGTTCATATCGTCACCAGATGATTCAGCACCATTTCTATTATTTGAATGATCAGTCGCATAATCGTGTCCCCACTTATTTCTATTCCAATTAGGGGAGGGCTCCACACGAAGATAGCCCGAATCATCCACATCATAATCATCTCCCTTCCTCGAGTAGTCTGCCTGCGTATCTCCAAAAGAGTCTGGCACCAATGCCGGCTCCTCCACACTCAGTCGCCTTTTCTCCTCATACAGATCTGGACCAGTCTTGCCTAAAAATAAGTATTTCAAGCTTCATTCAAGGCCATTTATTCACCAGGAAAAGGATCAAGTTTCAATTTCATCGGGTCCGTATGTTATTTTCTCAGGTGTTGATTAAAGGAATCGTAGCAATTTGAACCAACACATGGTTCTGTTAAAAAATGTCATGAGTGACATTCGAATCGTCATTTTGAATCTCCGTCTTAACTCAATTTTTTATTAGAGTTAATCCAGGTAAAACAAATGCACATCGTACCGATCAACTGGCAAAAAATTCTCAAAATATAAACCCAGTTTTATTCAAAACAGAATGCAGTTTAAACTAATCATTCAATAAATTTGATCTCTACGAAAAGCAGAGGATCTATCACAGGGTGCGTATCTTGTCTATCGATATTTTATTTTTTGTTATTTATCACAATTCAGATAGTCATTTTGCAGAGCGAAGCTCTTTGTTTTAGCGAAATGTCGTCTTTGCATCTAGAACCTTTAAGTGGTATCACTTCTTCAGCGAAAAGCGGTGGTAGATCTGAAGCTAGAGGTCAAGTGAGAGCTAGTCCTCACACATTATCACAATACTCGATACGACAATTTCTACGCGAACACCGTGAGACTATGCTAAATGACTGGTTCACTCGTTGTTGTTAGCCCGATATTTAAGCGCCTCTGGGCATGCTCTCGCCGAGTCTAGGGAACGTCGCGGCCAAAGCCACATGCCTACTAGGGTAAGGGAAGTTGGGTTTTGGGACAGGTAAAAAGATGTAGCGCTGTGCGGAGTGCTGGACATTGCGTGCGGTAAGAGAGGACGTTCGAGTCTATGTAGCCGGATTTAAAAAGTTATCAAGGCAGGTTCTAAGAGACTAGTTCTCACAATTAAGTTCGCACGGACAGCAGAATTACTTGCCTTGTACATTGGATGAAGACGGACCGTAGCCGTGATGTATCTGCTCCCAATAGACTGGTTCCTCTTTCCTCATACTGTTACCACCTCCTTTCTTCCCTGTCGATTTAGCACCACGATCACCCATTACAGAGGAAAAGCCCCTTGACCCAGCAGTTCCTCGGCCACTATCACCAGAGGAAAACCTCTCTCGTTCTCGATTTCGGGTGGAACTCTCTCCCCAAGAAGAAAGTCTTTCTTCATTCTCGTCGTCTTCTGAGCTCCAGAGAGACTTACGATTTTGACTCTTGTTATCGATATCAGGTTCGGACCTGGATGGTGGCATCTGTTGATTTGAATATTTATCGTTCTCATTGTTTGTCCATATTTTCCTTCTTTCATTGAAACTTTCTCGATTTGACGCGAATGTTGGGTCTGAATATGCGAATATCATTTTTGAAAGAAAATTGGACAAAGCACAAAAAGGTCCCAACACTAACAAATTAAACGAATTTTTAAATCATATTAGATTGAATTAAAACCGTTTCTAACCAAAACATAGCCAACAGACAGTAAAGATTCAATGAACGCAAGGAAACAGAAAAAAAACAGACTAGTTTTTTTTTTTGAAAAATTTCAACTTTCGAAATTCTAAGTAAAAAATTCATATGCGGCATATATTTGCTACAGTATATGACTTAAAACTCTTTAAATTCAAAAACAATTTACGATTGACTTTTTGGTAAAATTAACACAATTTGAAAAACTAGATCAATGGGTCAAGTTTATATTCCGCTGGGAAAACTGAAAACAGCTTTCGAAATAAGAAGTCGATCATGTTTTTCACGACCTTTACAGTTCTGCTTTTCAACAATAGACTTTGCCTTCTGTTTAACAAAAAAAAATGAAATTTAAAAAAGTCAGAATTCAAACCTCACAAAGAAATCGGAATTCCAACCGCTATTTTGAGACTTCTTCCTAAAAAACCATCACGACTTGTATAAGACATATAACTGAACCAATAGAACATAGCTAGTCAACTAACAGTTGGAAAAAAGCAATGAACGCAAGGAAACTGGAAAAAAAACGACTTGTGTTTCAAAAATTTTTTCTAAAAAAACAAAAAATCAGAAAGACTTTATAAGAGTACTCCGCAGGAATTTCAGAAAATTAAGACCAAAGTCAAAAATAGAAGTCATTCATTCTTTTTCGTGACCTGTACACTTCTTTTGATCGACAGTGGAATTTGCCCTCATTTAACAAAGTAAATGGACCTTGTTATAACAAAGAAAGTGAACTTAACTACAGTCAAACTGCAAGAGACTCAACAGTCAAACTGCAAAAAATCATCTTTGAGGCTGAAAATTTCTAAAAAACGTTTGAAGAAAAAACGATCAAGACTTAACATAAAAAAAATATCAAGATAAAACACAGGCAAACACTAGCGAGAAAACGACAAAAAGCAGCTAGAAAAAGTAGAAATAAGACTCGACTTAGTAAAAATTCGGTTAAGTCTTGAATTCGATCTGCGACCTAGAGATAATGGGTCTCAAATACTGACGACTCACCCACGGACGCTTTATAGGCACCAAACACCAGCCACAAATAAATCAGAGAACAGATGCTAAGAAATTTCCAATGCTACAGATCGTGATTATAGCAAAAGTTCCACCAAACAGTTGAACACTTTCAATGACACACTTTTGTTTGCAAGTTAGGTTGGACAAAAACTAAGGTTCTCACTAAAACACTACGCTCTCACACTCGTTAGTGTAAGAAAGCCATGAAGATCTATATACGCGAAAACCACTTCTTTCACTTTTTTGAATTTTCAAATTCTGACGAAAAACAAATGACCACTTGAAAGCTCTTTGATCTTTCTAAGCTTTCAAGATTGACACCTTTATCATTAAACTCCAATTAAAAAAAACTGAGTCAAAAGTTGTTGTTTTTATAACGCTAGAAGTGCTGAAAATAAAAATCCATTTTGAAAATGAATTCCATTCACGTTGTTTCGCTCCATTCGTGCTTTTATTATTAAAGAGCGCAAAGTACCTTCCTTTTAGTAATTAATTTGAATTGAAATTGAAAAACCCAGAAGTCAAACCGCGAAAAATCAATGAACACAAAAACATGCCTTACAGTCAGTAGCGTGCCGAGGGGGGGGGGCGACCGCCCCCGTCCCTCATTTCTGGTTGCCAAATTTTTCCAAAGGGGCCCCAGTTTGGTATAACTTTATGACATCCATTTTTGCTGAACATCAAAATTTTTCTTAAGGCACCCTTGGCGCCAATATCATTAATTTTGAGGGGAGGGAAGGGGCGAAAAAACTTTCAAACAAGTACCTAAAAACTTTTTTTTTAGCCTGTTTTTTGAAAAATTTGCATTCGGCGCAGAATATTTTTCACAAATTAGGGCCTAAAATAAAGGTCAGCAAAATTTTTCGAAAAGCCGCCGCCCTTCCATTTCTGCGCACGCCACTGCTTACAGTTCTTAGAACTTCAAGAACTATTTATGATTGACATTTTTTGATGAAAACAGTGAAATTTTAAAAAATGAATCAATGGGTAAAATTTCTCCAGCAGGTTTGATAATGACAGTTTGATTCCAAATTCTCTGACATTATTATCATATCTGTTAAAAGTGCGTCAAGCCTACTTACTACTTGATCCTCGATTGTCAATCACTGATTCCTTTTCCATGCCCGTCTCACCCATCCTTCTCAGATCACTACTTTCCCTCTCGCCTTCTCTTTCCGACGACTTATCGTTTATGTCACCCATATTTGAACTACTGCTTGAAAACGATCCACACACAGCCATACAAGCTGACTCAGTTTCAAATCTGTTCATATCTGGCGAACATATTGAGAAGTGTCGCGGAATACATCTACCCTTTCCCCCTGAAGATGAAGAAGACGCGTTGTAGAAGTAGTTCACCTCCGGTGACCTTGAGCAGATGTCACTTTCTTCCATCTCCGGAGGAGTGAGACAGGCTTCTACAAAATAGTCAAAAATTACTACTCAAAATTAGATTTATTAGTTTTTATTACATGCATTCTAACCAATAACTTATGCAGGTAACTACATCTAAAAAGCGCAAAAAAATAAACCGTGGAAAAATCAATTTAAGCGTGAACATATTTTACTTTTCCTATAAAAAAAAACGAAAAAAAGCCATCACGGCCTTTATAAGAATTTGAACTACGTTCATCGATTCTTAAAGATAGCCAATAGACAGTGGAAAAGAGTCAGCGCAGGGGCGAAACTCGGATGTTCTCGAGGGCGAGCAATTTGTCGACCTTTTTTTTGATCAACCAAATTGATTTTTCGGACACTCCCAGAATACTATAAAGACACTATCCTCACAAAATTTTTTGCACCACAGGCAAATTTTTGAAAAAAACTTTTGGTGCGCGTTTCCCTTCAAAATTAGAATCTATTGGCGCCAAATTTTAGGGTTGGTCAGCCGCAAATGAATACCACAATATAATACGAAAGGGGGGATTCCCTGAATGAACGCAGGTAAACTGAAAAAAAAGGTACTGACTTGCTTAATGAAAAAAATCTCAACTTCGGATTTCCAAGAAAAAAATAGATGGCCTTAAGGCTCGTTTAATTTCAAGAACAATGTATGATCGACATTTTTTTTGATAAATTAACCCATTTTACGAAAACTGGATCAATAGATTAATTTTTTATTTTGCTGGTAGATATGAAAATTAAATTCCACTTCGTTAAATTGATCATGTTTCTCGTGACCTTTACACTTTCGCTGTTCGATGATGAAGTTTGCCTTCCTTTTCTATTAAAGGCAAAGAACTGAATTTAAAATGAAATCTTAAGTTTAACCGCGAAAAATAAAAATTGGGCGTGAACAAAATTTAAAACTTTAACAACTTGATGACGCAAGATTTTCATTGCGATATCATTTGCATTAGTGGAATTATGAAGCTTTTAAGAGTCGATGAACATCTTTCTAGTTCCACTAATGCAAATGATATTGCAATAAAAAACTTCATCTTGTTGGCTTTTAAGAATTGAAAACAAGAAGCGCAACTGAACTTACTCTGAGCGACCTGATACATGTCCATTAAAGTCAGCATCTCCAGTCGCTCCGAAGAGATGAACCCTGAAACAAAACAACAATACGATCAACAGAACGGACAGTTCTAAAACGACCTTTGTTATTTCGCTTCAAAATTCTCGCGACATAAGTTACTAGTAGCTCGCTTCGTAAAACAATTTTTGGTGGTTTTGGTGGCTATACGGAATTACAGTAGGCGGGAAAACTAGTAGGAGTGTTAATATTGTCTCGTGTATGTGATGTGATGTAATAACTATTTCAGGTGGGGTTGAATTTATCTTATATCTTACGTTGTCTTCTTCAATGGTAGCAGGATGTCGACCTCTGGATTCAAAGCCCCACCTGTTTGGGCTGCTGATCAGCCTTTTGAAATATGGAAAAGTGAAAAATCAATTTGGGAATTAGTGACAGATCTCACAAAGCCCAAAACGAAACTATTGTGAAAGAAGTGCTGGAAAAATGGTGTTTTGTGTTTGGATTCCCAGAATCCTTCTACTCGGATAACGGAGGCGAATTCGAAAACCAAAAATTTCGCTCTATGTGTGAAATGTCGAATGTCAAGGTCAAAAGCACCCCAGCCGGTAGTCCCTGGTCAAACGGGACGTGTGGGAGAAAATTCGATTGTCACGGAGATTTTCTCAAAAGTATGAGAAGGCGGTGATCATAGCAGTGACGAAATCAGTTTGCAGCATGCAGTATACGCTAAAAATTGACTTGTTGGTTGCAATGGATTCAGTCCTTATCAACTGGTCTATGGCAGGAATCCTAACATTCCCGGCGTTGCCCACAACAAGCCGCCTGCTGACGAGAATGTAACCTCTTCGACCATTGTTGCCCAACATTTATCCCAGCTGCGAAAGTCCCATATCGCTGAAATCGACGCTGCATGACGCTTGTCTCGGGCAACAAGATTAAAAACTCGTAATGAAGGCGGTCCGTTCGAAATGGGCGAGTTTGTGTACTACAAGAAGCAGGAAGAGCGTTGGCGTGGACCAGGCAAAATAGTCGGCCTCGATGGACGTTGTTATCTTGTCAAACACGGTGGCAGTGTCGTAAAAGTTCATTCTCATCGACTTAAAAGAGCTCCTCGTAATAAAGGTGAAAAAATTCAGTTCCCAACTGAACCCGCGGTAGTTCATCTCAACTCTATCGAAGAGGAAAATGACGCCAATGACTTGTGTAGCAGCACATCTGTTCCGGATGAAAATAGCCGGCTTGACGTGGAACAGCTGTCCGATTCAGAATCCTCCTGTGACCATGAGATGGAACCATTTTCTGCTTCAGAATCACCTTATGACGATGCACAAGCCGCAACAGAGACGAGTGATCCAAACAGAGTACTGATAGTAATCTGCCAAAGAAAGGAGACCGTATTCGTTTCCTCGCTCCTGGACCAGCTGGCGAACCTCTTCGCATGATAAAATGTTTCTTTGTTACGGATAATTCTACTTAAATACAAATGAGATATGTTTAAAAAGTGAATTTATGTCTGTATTAAAACATTAAAAACTGACTGAGATCATTCTCTCCGCCGGAGAGAATGAACATACCAAGGTCAAATATAAATTAACCAGTTAAAGTAATTTAAAACTAATTAAATGAAATAAGAAGAATGGTATGATTCGCAACATTCCCCTTAGTGGGAAAAAAATAAACTACTAAACGCTATGGTACGTAACAGGATAACTAACCCTTTTCTCTCCCTCAAGGAGTCCAACCAAGGGATTGAAAATTGAGTACTGCCCCATATAACAATGAAATTTTAATGCTCCGAAGGAGTGACTGATTAGATAGATGTGATAGCACAATTCATGATTCCGGCGGATTATAATCAATGACTACAAAAAGTAGATAGATTCTAACTGCACTGTAATGAAGTACTAATAAAAGTATTAAAGTCGAAATGCGAATTTTTTGTTTTAGATTAACTGTCCCCTTCCATAAATTTCTCTAACTCCGCGTTGAAAATTTCACTATCTAAATCTATATAGTTTTCCAAACTATTCACGGCATCTCTAAGGGATTCGTCAGTGGAGATAATAGAGATTTGGTCTGAGGACGAGGAGATCACTGAGTCGGATGTACCTTCTTCTGATTGTAAGTCGAAAATAGGGGTTTGAATATCCGAGGGATTCCTTGTAATGGTTTGTGTAATGGTGCCCGAACTGTCATTTTCGTCCAGAGGTATTGGTTTTTTCGCGGAGCCTGGTTGGTTTTCGTTCTCATCTATAATATCTATGTACCATCGTTTACCATAAAACTGGGGAGGTCCGACATTTCGACTCGAATGTCTTAATTTAAAGTCATTACCGGTGATAATAGTCTCCTTAGGATGCCTTTCCTCAGTAATCGCGTTTTCATCAGAGGAGTCTTCTATCTCGAAGACTGGAAATTCGATAGGATTTCCTCCCTCCGATTCCTTCGTTGTATCCAACGGAGCGTTTGGTCCCTCCGATGTCGCAGTAGTAGGAGGTTTGTTCGGTGAGTGTGAAGTAGTTTGGGTGGCTGGTTTTATACTGATTGGACATTCCGCTGTGTCCGACGATTGAAGTTCGTCTAAAATCTCAGGTTTTATATTAGTTTGATATGTTTGAGGATCTAATGATGAGGTAGGTTCTTCGTTAAAAATGGGGTTATCCGAAATGAAACGTTCTCTTATCATTTCCCTGCATGGGAAACCACCCGCGATCCACTCCCAATCACTAATGTCAGATGTATCCGACGGAATGAACATGGATTCGTCACCTGCTAAATATCCAGTAATAGACGTCGAGGCTTTATTTCGGGTTCGTTTTGACTTGTTGGGTTTAGTTGGTTGGTTTATCCCTGGGGACCTAGTGGAGACCGGGGTAGGAAGCTCTATTTGTCGTCTCGTTTTAGGGCCTAGTTTCCGCGTCTGTTGGGGCTTTGTTTTGTTAGTCTTTCTTGAAACTACTTGTAAATCAGTGTTAATAAAAGAAGGAAAAGAAATATTTCCTTTGAATGAACGGATTGTAGAGGATTTAGACTTTGGGATGGCGATGTCCAATTTTCTAATGATTTTTCCGTCGGATAGTTCGACCGTAGATTTTGTTGAGTTTATTATTTTCTGACCCAATTGTTTATAGAAGGGATTTCCGTTTATACTTCCATTGGTCTTTCGGAGTAAATTACCTTTAAACGGGCTGTTTAGAGACACTCGGGAACAAGAAGGTTTTGAATCTGCAGGATGGTCTGAGTCGTACCCTTTCTCAAGTGGTGACTGGTTCTTCTTTGGTACTAAACAGTCTTTGTACCCGTCTTCTATCCGATCGTCCGCGTTCCAGTCAAGGGCCCTTTCTTTGCTTAGGATTGACTTTCCTTTGTCTAAAAATCCACCGGATAAATTACTAGATGCCAATTGTTCCCAGATCGTGTTCGGTATTCTATTAAAACGTAATTCGAATGGCGAACATTTTATTTTTGATTGGAAGGAAGATCGTAAGTTCCAAATAATTTTCGAGATAGCGAATTGTAAGGTAGGTTTTTGTTGTTCTAGTGACATTACTAATAATTTAATTTTTACAGTATGAACAAGTTTTTCTACAAGACCGTTGGAACGATGGTCCCCGGCTGTACAAAATATTAATTTGATATTAAAAAAATTACAGAAAAATTTAAAATCCTGACTAGTAAAACAGGATGCGTGGTTGACACGAATAGAGTTAGGAATCCCATGTAGGTAAAAATAATCTTGAAGGAATTCGATTACCGTGTTTGATGACGTTGAAGATGTAATTTTAGATGATGGAAATTTTGAGAAACGATCTATACATAATAAAATGTATTTATTCTTTCCCCAATTGTTATCTAATGGGCCGGCGAAATCGAGGTTAAGTTCCTCATTGGGTTCGGATAAAGCGGGAAGTTCGCTAATTTGTGTGGTGGGTATAATGCTTTTTATATTCTTACCAGTTTGGGTGGATTGTGTACAGTTAATCCCATGGAAGTAGATCTGTCGATTTATGCGAGGCCACCAAATATATTGTGCCAAGTATTTCATACCGAATTGGCCAGGGTGGGATTCGTGTAATGTTTTTAAAACGGTGTTCCGGAGTGTAAAAGGAATAACCAATTTTCCATCCATATATAATAATCCGTCGGATTCGTGAAGGTCTTTCGCAAATTGGTACAGGTAACGGGAATTTGCATTGATGCTTTTAACTTTGTTCTGTAGAGCTTTTACAATTGGGGTTAGCATTTCGTCGTCTTCCGTTAGTAATGCGACCAACTTTGCGTTAAATAACGTATTTAGATCCAAAGGTTTTTCAGGTAACTTGAGATTTTCTCGATATTTTGTTACTAATTTTTTTGTGTTCTGAAGAAATTTGGAAATCGATTGAGACCTGTATTCCGGAGGTAGAAGGATTTACTACAAATTGGTTATAAGACATATTTACACTATTTATAATTTTAAAATCGGAAGGATTACTAATTAAACTACTATTAAGAATTAAAAAATAAATGAAGGCTGAATTTGATAAAATGATTTTGGTAGGGTCTGTGTTTGAAAAGTCCGAGGGAATGCATTTGGAGTTACAAAGTTCTGTTCTATAATGTTTTTGATTGCAAATTGGAATGGAAGAATTAATGAAATTCAACGCTGTAATTATTACGTGATTTCGTAATCTCATGTAATTGGAATTTTCCGAAGTTGAACTAATTGAATTGCGTAATAAATTTTCGTTATCCAACGGATTGAGTGCTTTATATAATTTTTTGGTCGTTGCAACTACGAATTCTTTATCGTAATGTGATGGGGGGATTGCCTTTCCCGAAGGGGATCTTGAAATTAGGTCAGTAAAACCCATATCTTTTCCCGCTAAATGCTTTATAGTAAAATTAAATGGTAAAAGACGATCTACCCATCTTGTCAATCGACTATGATACGTTTTGTTTCCGTGATTAGGTGACAGAGCGAAAAGGAGAGCTTTGTGGTCGGTAATAATTTCAAATTCTGAGCCGTAGAGATAATTTTTGTAATGATCTACCGCCCTAATAACTCTAATTCGTTTGTTGAATATTTG